CCACAGGCCAACGCTCTATCCACTGAGCCAAACCAGCTAGGGCTAAATACTCTACATCTTTAAGATCCTCTCCAAGTCTGTCTTTTGAAGGGAAGACCTCTCAGCAACAGACACTTGCATGATAAAACCTACAAAGCAATTGTACATGCCTCATTAAGCTTTACTCCCAATTGCTCTGTGGATCTGTAATACAGCTATTATCGTCATTCTGGTTATTAGATGTACGTCAGTTATAATATATTTGGTTGCAAGTAACAGAAACTCCTACTCTAAGTGGCTTGAATAGAAAGTGCATTTAACTGAACCAGGATAGGACAGACTTCAGGGGTAGTTTGATTCAGCAGTTAAGCAATGTCCCCAGGATGTAGGACATCCCTCTGCCATGCCTTCCATGGTGGTGTCTGCTTCATGTAACGCGTTGGGCAGGTCTCACTTAAGGAAAATGCTTCTTTCCCAGAGGCAGCAAGCAAACATCTTCCCCATAGTCATTGGCCTGATTTCGGGCAACTACCCACACACCTTAGCAGGAGATGGGGTGATGCTGATTCGTGGGAATTGGGAGACACCTTTAGGTAGCGTGACAAAGCTACCCATTCCCCAGGTGTAGAGAGCTTCAAGATTGCTGGGCGGGGTTGAGCATATTTGCATAAGGAACCAAGTTTTAAAAGGGCTGGAAACTCCCTTTTCCTTTCTTTTGATGTTCAATATTGTTTGAAAATTTCTGATGATTGAGATGGTACTGACTGAAACCAGTTGGTAGAACAGTCACTTTGAAGGAGTGGCCTGGGTTGGTGACCCTGAGTGTCAAAGTGAGGATAAGGCATATGTTTGAGGCTGGCCACCTTATCGCTAAGTGAATGTTAGCAGGGACCACAACGTTGGGAGCCCAGAGATGAGCATACTTGAAGGAGGAGCCTTATTTTTCCCTTCCCCCACATTTTCTCTTGGAAATGCTATGGCAGAAACAACCACCGGTAAAGAGCCTTTGTGTGTTATCAATAAGCCATGGTTTCCTTCTTTGGCAATGCCCTCACAACACAAGAGTTTGTTTTTCGATAATCAAGTTACTGGTGTGTATCAGTCAGGTTAGGCTAGGGTTAGTCATAGTAACAAGCAAACCAAATCCCAGTGGCTTGGAAGAGTCAAGATTGACTAGTACCTCTTGCTCATGTTCTATATTCATGGCAGGTGGGCAGGGACTCTCATTCATCTTGTTCTCAGTTGGGGACCGAGATAGAAGGAGCCACCATTATCTGAAACATAGGTGGTCTCCTTCGCAGTGACAACAGAGCTCTGGTGGGTCCTCCATCAGCAGTTAAATGCTCCTGCCTGGAGGTGACATGCATTGCTCTACTCACAACCCAGTGGCCAGAACTAGTCACCTGGCCCCACCCAACCACAGTGGTTGAGTAGGTGCAGTCCTACCTGGTGCCAGGAAGATACGGGAGCTGGAATATTCCTGAACAGCTTTTAACAACTGCTGAACATGTGGTGGCTTCCTTTCCCTCAGGTTGGCTCACCAAATTCAGACTACAGTGGGCAAGCGGAAATACCAGGAATGAAACTGACGGTGGGAATGCGGATGGCCAATAATATTTATTGAGGGCTTGCTATTCTGTTAGAATAGAGCAGGACACTAGTCTAAGCACTTTCCCTGTAAGAGCTTATTTAATTCTCCCAACAATCTAGAATCACAGGAATAGTAGTCATCTTAGCACAGGGAGGAATAGTCGCTCAGCATGAGTGTAACCTTCCAGTCACACAGATTTTATTAACAGAAAAAGTGAACTTAGTTTAGAAACCTGAAGTGGGACAGAGTGGTTTCACTTTCACTCTGTAAAGGATGGATTCAGCTTAACAAAACCAGGGAAGTTTAAATGCAAGGGCATAAATATATGAACTAGGACATTGTTGCTTGTAGTCCATTGTCCACAGTAATAACAGTTACTTTATCGATTCATGCACAACATTTTCTTACAGGCTTTCCTCAGCTCAAGCACCCACCACGGGCTTCTCCAGGGAAACAGTGATGAGAACGCCTCCCCCATGGCAGCTCAGGGATCACCAGGAGGAACACAGGCAAGAGTGCTCACTACAACGTATGCAGGGGTCCTCAAACTACGGCCCGCGGGCCACATGCAAATACAAATATTGTATTTGTTCCCATTTTGTTTTTTTACTTCAAAATAAGATATGTGCAGTGTGCATAGGAATTTGTTCATAGTTTTTTTTTTAAAACTATAGTCCGGCCCTCCAACGGTCTGAGGGACAGTGAACTGTCCCCTTGTTTAAAAAGTTTGAGGACCCCTGACGTATTGTTTGCAGCATTCTCCCTGAGGGAAACCTGGAAATGGAAGAGGTGTGTGTGTGTGTGTGTGTGTGTGTGTGTGTGTGTGAGTGAGACAGAGGGGCGGGGAGGGGGTCTTTGGGAGGTACTTTGGTCATGAGGGTGGAATTCTCATGAATGGCATTAGTGCTCCTATAAAGAAGACTCTAGAGAGTGCCCCAAGCCCCCTCCTCACCTGTTGAGGACAATGTTGGGCTAGGAATATGCTGGAAGGGTGCTCTCACCAGAAGGCTACCCTGTTGTCACCTTGATCTGGGACTTTCCAGTCTCCAGAACTATGAGCAATAAATTTCTGTTGATTGTAAGCTCCTCAATCGTGTATTTTGTTGTAGCAGCCTGAGCAACTAAGACATTGCCCAACTATAGCTATTTTCACACCCCCCAAAGGGAACGACCTACCAAATATTTCTGAGACATTGACACTTATTTGGGACACTGTTTTAGGCATTGCACAGAAAAATTATGAAATAAGAATAGCTAACATCTGAGTGCTTGCTATGTGCCAGGCATCATGCTGACTACTCTAAATGCATTAGATTGTTCATCCTCAAAAGAATCCCGTGAAGTGAGTAATATTTTCCACTCAAATTGAGAAAGGATGAATTGAGGCAGAGAAGTTGCCCAGCTGGTCACCAGAACCATTGTCTTTCTGGCACTTAGGACCCCTGCACTGTTCTGCCTTCTTTTAAAAAAAATAATATTTTTATTGATTCGGAGAGGAGAGAAAGATAGAAACATCAATGATGAGAGAGAATCACTGATTGGCTGCCTCTTGCATGCCCCACACTGGGGCTCGAGCCTGCAACCCAGGCATGTGCCTTGACCGGGAATTGAACTGTGACCCACCATGGTCCATAGCTCACCATTCAACCCCTGAGCCACACCTTCCTGAGGCTTCCTTTTGCCCACCTGAGTCTGGTGCTGTGTTCTAGCCTGACCCAACTTAAAACGTACTGTCCTCTGCCCACTTAACCTTCCTGCTGTGGTGTTTAGGCCGTTTTCTTAACACCTCTGGGCGGATTCTCCCAACCTCCCACCCAGGGCTCACTCTGAACTCTGCCTGAGGGGGTGCCGAGATGAGTAAGATACTATCCGTGCCGTCAGGCATCTTGCAGCATGGCGATGAGATGGAGACACAAACACTAAGTTAGATATGAAGCGGGTGGAACTCAATACTTCATTAGAAGAAGCAGAGGAAGCAACTCAGACTTCCTGACAGTCATCAGAGGTGAGAGAGACATGACGGCTTTGATCAGCCTCCGTGCTAAGTGTTGAGCATGAGGGGCGACTAAAGGACGGTCCCTGCCCTTAGACAGTGAGGCCGGGATGTTGGTCCGTGGTCTGTCTGCACATGTAGGTGAAAGGTTCCTGGGCAGGTGGCAGGTTTTTCTCGCCGGAAATGACCCTGTGCTGCCCTCAACTCCCCTCAGTGTTGGGCGGTCAGCGATGTCCACATGATGGGATTAGAAACTCAGATGAAGAGGTCTCATTCTAGTTTCAAACTCTGTCCCGTAGGGCAATGGGAGGTTCCAAGGGACTCTCCCAGGGAAAGGCGGAGGAGAAATGGGGGAAAGAAATTAAGCAAGAAAGAGCAAGCCACACCCCTTTTCATTTCAGTCAGGGCAGCTCTGCTTTTAGTTATTGTATTCGTTTCGTTTCCATGTAAGACTGCACTACAACAAAGGGTTATGAGGCTGGAAAAAATTTGGAAGGCACGGATTGAATTCACAGAGAAGAAATCTGAGTTCACAGAGAAGAGACAAATGGCTCTTCAAGAAATCAGTCAGGCCTGGCCGGTGTGCTCAATGATTAGAGCAGTGGCCTGCTTACTGAAGGGTCAACAGTTCAATTCCTGGTCTAGGGCATGTACTTGGGCTACAGGTTTGATCTCCGGCCCCAGTCTAGGTGCTTGTGGGAGGCAACCAATCAATGTCTCTCTCCCTCTTTCTCTCTCTCTCTCTCTCTCTCTCTCTCTCTCTCTCCCTCCCCTTCCCCCTCTTCCTCCCTGCCTTTCACTCTCTCTAAAAATTAATGGAAAAAATAAAATATCCTTGGGTGAGGATTAACACCAAAAAAAGAAATCAGTCACAGGGAGCCAAGAGGAGACCTGGGCTCTCAACTCCCGGGCTGCTGCACTTTCCACTGTGCCAACCCACCTCCCTGTGAAGCTGGCACAGCCACGGGGGGATGGGGGGCTCAAGGTTCCCCCTAACGTGACTGGACCGAGGTCCTGTGATGGGTTCAGATTGAAGAGGAAATGGGGGAACTTGGAGGAGCTGTTGTTTATGGCCAATGCCTAGCACCTCTCCCTGCCTGCAGATCACGGTGGTGTGAGGTGAATTTGTGGGAAGAACACGCTAGGAAAGAACCCAGAAACCTCTCTCCCTGATCCTGAGAAATAAAGCTCAGTAGGGAGGTCCTGGGAGCCGGAAGGCAGCAGGAATTAGTGTGTTTGGAAAGAAGCTGGCTTAGGAAGTGTCCCAGGAGAAACAGAGGCGAGCTGCTTTTCGCTGGGCACCAGGAAACCGGCAGCTTTTAGGGTGATACATCCTTCATTCATTCATTGAGGACCTAGGGGGTAAATCAAGGTGGACCAGTCATTGTCTGTGCTGTAAAGAGGCCAACAGTCCAGTGGAGGAGTTAAGGCATGCAGAGAGGAAGGAAGAGGGAGAGAGAGATAGAAACATCAGTGATGAGAGAGAATCATTGACCGACTGCTTCCTGCACGCCTCACACTGGGGATTGAGCCTGCAACCTGGGCTGTGCCCTGACCAGGAATCAAACTGTGACCTCCTGGTTCATAGGTCCACGTTTAACCACTGAACCACGCTGGCCGGGCAAGGCATATACATTTGTACCTACAATGAAGGGAAGGAGAGAGGGTCCAAAGAGATAACAGAATGGGCGCCAAGTGAGCTGGACATGCTGGATGGGGAAATCACGGACACTTCCTGGAGCAGGCTGCCCTGAGCTGGCACTGGCAGCAGGTAAGCCACGAAGGAATGGGAAGTGCGCCCCATGCAGAGGACACAGCAGGAGGCCGGTGCAGAGAAAGGTCCTCATAGGTCTGCGTGGGGAGTGGAGGACGTCAGCCTGGCTGGGTGCACACACTTGGGTGTGTTTTGAATCTATCACTTTCCAGAGCCTGAGGGGGTGTCCTCAGGTGGCCCTGCTCCCTGGAATACGAAGAGGCCATAACTGACATGTGTAGCTTTGGGGGATTCGGTTTGTCTGCCTCATGAGAGGAAGCCAGGATCAGATAGAGACAGTCAAAGGTTTCCAAAGGATGTAACTGCACCTCTTCTTCCATCGCTTCCGAGAGAGAGAAGCTGACGGCTGGGCGGGGCCCAGCACTGAGTCTGGGAAGGTGGTGTGTGGATGGCGTTCACCCAGAACGCTGTCCCCCTCCTAGCTTCAGCAAACAGCTTGGAAAGCAGCCTGAGATCACCGGGAACTACCAGCCCTCCAGCGCCAGTGTGAACCAGTGTTTATTAGTCCTCTGGCGCTTCCCCAAACCCGCCACCTGACATCACGCGCAAAGCGGACCGAGCATGGCCAACAGAAGGCACCTTCCCAGCTGATAGAGGGTGGAAGCGTGCCAAAGGCGGGGAGCGAGGAGGAGAATCAGGGCAGACCTTGAAGAAGGTGGCTGACCTCGGATGCATTTCTGCTCTTGGAAGATTAAGTCATTATCAAAGAAAACTTGGGGATAGCGAAATGCTTTCCACGGTATCTGGTTGCCCTGCTGACAAAACAAACATGGAAACAAAATCACTGCACGTCCCACTTTATTGATTGTAAAGAAGTTATAATTTTGCTGGGAGGACCCTCCCCTGTTTCACTGGAAGTGGGGAGGTCAAGCTAGTGCAGTGACAGCCTTGAGGTTAAGGATACAGCTGAGGCGGCAAAGAAGAGCTGATGGTCAAGGCCACCATGTGGCACACTGAGGTCACAACACGACAGCCAGGAAAGCCTGACGCAAGAAGCCAATGAATGAGTCCCAGGAGACCAGAGAATGTAGGGGCCGATAATTCTACTGGGGATGTGAATTCAATCCGAGCCACTGGGATTATTGCCTGGACCTTCAGCTCATCCTCTCTGGTTCCCTCCCTGCTCCTTCCATGCTAGTGTGATCTGGGAGAATTGAGGGTAAACATATTTAAAAAAACCTTCCCTCCTAAAACATAATTCTAATTCTGCCCTGAGGAACAAGAACCCAAAGTAAGTCTAATTGTTTTTCCACATGTTAGTCCCAAACAGACAATGCATGGTTGGAAAGAATTGCATTTTCCTTTTATCTTGGAAAGATTCCTACTTTACCCCTACTTATCTTGTAGTTGCTGGAGAATTTTGTTCAAGTTATGCCTCATTGTCTCAACTCACCTTCTTGAAGCTCGAAGGACAACTTAATTAAATCACCTCAAGTTGATTAATGAATAGAAGCAGGACCTTGCACTCCCCAGTTCACAATCCCAAAGTCATTTCAGGTTGGCGGCATATTCATTTGGCTTCGCTCATTAAAAAGTTAAAATGTATTCACTGTCCAATACGTAGGACCCATGGGGACAGAACAGTCTTTGTCATTCATTTCACATGGTCAAATTTATCAAATTAAAACTGCATGTAAACAAATAATTTTCTGGATGCTTAATGCTGGTCCTGCTTCCACCAATAATTCCATTTGGGTGAGACGACCTTTATTTCTCTCCTTTGCTTCCAGGGCTACTTAAGCTGTAGGAGAGCGAAGACCTGGAAGAGATGTCTCCTGGCTGAATTCCACCCCCTCACTCGCTTTGAAGTGCATTCCTTTGAAATTGATGGACGTGTACATGTCTATCTGCTATAGAGCCTCCTTCCCCACCCTCAGGCTCGGAAACTGCGGAACCACTGGCTCCCTTTTCTTTGGCTCAGAGTAGAGAGGAAGTGGGTGTCCGTGTAGTGACTTTTGTTAGATAAACGAAGATTGGAAACATGCGTATTAAAGTTTGTTTCCTCCCTTCACACCATGATCCAGTCTCCTTCGACTTCTCGGCCTCTGAGAGCATTCATTAAAGGGAGACACACAGAACTTAGAACAGAGGCAAATTATTTTTTTCTTTCCTTTAAAAACAAAATCCAAATAGCCTCTTGAGATTCAGGCCAGAGGTGTTTGTCTTGGAATCTAAGGCCTTTTATTTTTGTAGGGAAAAAAAGATGGAGGTTTTTTTTATTTTTGTTATTTTTTAAACCAATCAATCAATTAATTTTCATTTTTTTAAAATTAAGTTTATTGAGGTGACATGGTTAATAAAATTATGTAGGTTTCAAGTGTACAATTCTATGATACTAAAACTCAGGAGGATGACCTGTGTGGACCCGTTGGCCGGAGGCAAGGCAGGATGGAGCATGCCTACAGACGCAGAAGGGGCCCGGGGTCATGAACAGAGTACATGTGGGGTGCATTCCATCCCAGAAAATCCCAATGAATGCAGAAGGAAGGCTGCAGATCAGGCACCCCGTCCCATCAAAGCTCCTCCCACTATGAGACACCCCTTTGGGTGTGGGATGAGCAGAACCCTGATGAAGTTTTAGTCTGAGGTGCCTGGAAAGAAAATCGCTCAGCTCACTGACTGAGTTGAACTGGATTGAACACGTTGTATTTTCTTTGTTTTGGGCCTCATAATCTATAGCCTCATAATATTTCTGGATAGACTGTAGATGGATGTTCCCAATCATCTATTCATGCTCAACGGATATTTATTTAAATACTTTTATTGATTTCAGAGAGGAAGGGAGAGGGAGAAATAGAGACATCAATGACGACAGAAAATCAGTGATCAGCTGCCTCCTGCATGCCCCACACTGGAGATTGAGCCTGCAACCCGGCCATATGCCCTGACCAGGAATCGAATCATGACTTCCTCATTCATAGTTTGACGCTCAACCACTGAGCCATGCCAGCAGGGCGGGATATTTACTGAGTGCCTACTTTGTGCCACACTGGAGAGACACAATGAATGAGGGCACCATGACCTGGCCTTCATGGAACTTAGAGTCCAGAGGAGGAAATGAAGCTAGAAGGGGGTCAAATAATCTGCCAGGGTCACATAACTTGAAAATAGCAAATAGCAGATTTAAACTATGTTCCCAAGTACTAGGTATAGAAAACAAGCATTCCCCAAATAATCTGTAGGCTCACATTATTTCAGTGGGAGGGTAAATTGTAGGGGAAGTTTTTAAAATGGATTCTGAATGTCATCTGAAAGAATAAACATGAAGACATAGTGAAAAAATGTAAATAAAAGTATTAAAATGTTTTTGAGCCATCAGATATCAAAACAAATTACCCAACCACCTTAATTTTTAGGTAAGATGCAAAAAAGCAAAAGGGGGATATGTGAAACAGGATGGAGAGCTTTGGAAGAGTGAATAAATTCAATGCCTGATGAAAGAAAATTTACAAACAACAGGGTAGGGAATGTTCAAAAACTAATATTGAGGCAATTAAACCTATTTTAGAAACTCAATTTAGATCCTTATTTTATACTTCCCAGCAGATGGATTTCATGTGGATTAAATATTTTTGAAATTTAAAAACAAGGAGAAAGCATTGGCAGATAGTAAACTAATTAATGACAGATGAGACAAAGTATAAAAGCAACAGGCGAGGTCATTAAAAAGAGGCTGTTATATCTGACCCCCTAAAATGGTAAGTAGTTTGTCGCCAACACCAAAAACAAAATAAAAAGGTGTATGACAAACTGGGAAATCCATTAGCAAACAAACAAAATGAAGGGCAAATAGCCTTCAATTAAAAAGAAAACTATCTAATTACACAGACACGAACACTGACATAAAAATGTGCAAAGGACACACAGAAATTGGCATGATTGAAATGAACGATGCTCGAGGCTGGTGAGGGTGAGGTGAGGTCCTGGCCCATATTCCCTCTCATGGAGTCGCACAGTAAGACATTTCATGGGGGCTTTTCACAAGTACCCTAAAATCTTTACAATTGGCACTTCTTTGAATATAGAGATTCAATTTCTAAAAATCTAAAGAGATATTGAAGCCCAAATTTATATTTAAACATGGTTAATTCTCATCCATTACTTAAAATGGTGATTGGTGGAAAACAGGGGACTTCTAATTAATGGTGATTTATGTCTAGTCTATGATGGAGCATATGTAGCCATTTAAATAAAAAAGAATCTTGTTTCCAAATAATATTCAATGACTGAAGAAATGGTAATAATATCAGAGTAAGTGGAAAACAGCAGGATAAAAATTTATGCACAAGGTGTGATACTAATTTGACCACACACATATGTGTTTATGAGTTCACATGTGTGTATCCTCATAAATACTAGAAGAAAACACACAATGTCTGCCTATCTAGAATTCATCTCTTCTTTATCTTTCTAATTTTATGATTTTATAAACTTTAAGTGGGGCAACAAGTCTACCTACCAAGAATGAAGCTTTTCTTCTTTATCTTTCTAATTTTATGAGTTTGTAATTTGATGAAAACATTATAAATTGGCACATCTAGCAAAACCATAATCTTATTTTTTGGCATTTATTATTTCTCTTTGAACCCTATAAAGGAAATAATACAGGCCTTTCGGATGGCAACTTGCCAACCTCGCTGATCAGGATTTTAATGACTTCCCTCCTTCTGAGGCCTAATTTAAACCCAATTTAAAGTAA